AACAAAATCCCTCACAAAAAAAAAACATTTTTCGTCATCGATGCGCAGTTTGAAACGCAGCAAAATGCCATCCGTGCCATTTGTTAAGTGTAACAATAAGAGGCAAATATTTAGACAGAAACTTCGCGTCGAAATATTAGTAAAATGTGATCACATACACGAGTGTCAATAATGTCAGATTCTCTCATATTACATTTGAGAGAATCTGATATTATTCTTCAATAACTGATTGTCCTTTTTCATCTCAGCTAATCTCTGTTCCGTCAACTATTTACACAAGCCTGTTAGATACGTTATACGCTGCTTTACTCTTACCTTCAAGAGCTATTGTAAGTGTTAGATTTTCTAAGCCTTCTTTCCTCATTAATTTTCCTATAAATTTCAACTTTCACTTTTTAATGCTGGTAAGTGTTCTTTTTGTTTCCATTTCCTCTAAAACTTCATCGATTCTCACAGGTTCTGTCATTGACATTCCCAGCATCCTACTGTAGAACCACATCTCTGTTGCATCAAGCCTCTTCAGCTGTTAGCAGATTGTCCCGTATTGAAAGGTAATAGCACTAAAATATATGGAACAAAAAATACTTAATCTCAGACTTCATGGTAATACAGGAACATTGAAGAATATATCCACTGAAATGGGATAAAAACAAAAAAAGATTAAGATAATAGTCCGAAAATAATAGAAATTAATGAGAATATTTCATTCCGTTAAATTAATTTATACATGAAGACTAAAGAATATATCGGCTGTAAAACTGTAATAACAAATATGAAGAAATGTGAATTTGTGTGGTCAGTTCAGAGTAAGAACTCGGAGAACTGAGTTCGAATTCCAGTCGAGTTCTTTAGATTCACTTAAACATGAATACCCTTGAAAAAGGTATGAATCCATTTCTTCTCCCACTCTCTCCCCAGCTATCGGCTGAATAGCAGGAAAGACTTGTTTAGCCTTGGTTGGTAACCAGTATACCGCAGAAAGAAATGGCAACCTACTCTAGGGAAAAAATCTGCCTCGTCAGCCATGTATCAAAGGATACATGTTCGCCCAAGCGTGTATCAATGTGGCATTTAACTGACTGATTCCTTATTAATTCTTACGATTAGAAGCAATGAGGAAAATTATCAGTGATTAAATACTGTTTGGGTCAAACTATGTCTATATCTGTACTGGGCTCATGTCCAACAAAGTAGTTTTGTATTTCAAATCATTATTAATGTAAACATGGTTTGAATAGTTCAACGATCAACATTTTTAACATTTATTGAGGCAAGAAGAGGCAGATTGATATACAGGATATAATCGAAAGCTGAAATCTATCTATAGACGTAGCTAACGAAGTAGATATTTATATTTCTTTTGAAGGGCCATAGACAGTGTAGGATGACATGATGGTACTTCAGCAGCGAATATAATTTGGGACCTAATGAGGTATTTTGGTGGATGTCATGCCGAGAAGTGTAAAAGTCTCAATTTTCCAAGGGTGATAATAAAAAGAGACAGTGATGAATTATGGGGACAAAAATCTCTTCCGGCATCTGTTTCAGTTTGTTTATTTCTAAAAAGGTTTCAGGAAAAGTCCTCGGTTCGACACACTGCCCCAAAACAATATTCAATATTTGTTAATTAAAATAATGATTTTTGGTAGTGGTTTGGGATGCAAAATTTTCTGCACTACCTCAGATTCATGTCCTTCAGTCTGTTCATATCTATCTATATCAGTCTATTCACACACACACACACTCAAGTGCCATGTTTTAAGCGATGTTAGTTATCTCCTATTAATTCCCCTTTCCAAGTTCTCCACTGCCTTAACCGGGTATTGAACTCACATTCTTTGGATCCTGTCACTGGATCTAACTGACGCCTTTATCCACTGTGTCATGTGTCCTTGAGGACATCTGTGTATGAATTTCTAGGTATTCTAAACCTAATGTCTTCAGCGCCGATTTTTTTACCTGTGCTCATATTGCAATTTTTGCTGTTATCACTTTTCTGTCACTCCTTATTACTGGTTCCAATATTGTATTCATTTCTATGCTTGGTCGTCTCAGGAGATTTTTGTGGCCTAGCATATGTGCTGATTGCTTCAAATTTACGAATTTTCCAATGGTGGAACTAGAACAGTCTAACCCAGTGAGCAAAATAAAGGGTTCAGTTCGACATTCCAACCACCTGAAGAAGGTCGGAGCGTACAACGGCCAAAACGTTGTAATAAATATGGCAACAAAGATGGTGACAATAGTCCGAATAATGTAAATAGGGTACATAATACCTCATCTCAGAAATATAGACAGATACTGTTCATATCTATCCAACAATCTCAGTCTGTTCATATCTATCTATCTATCTATCTATCTATCTATCTATCTATCTATCTATCTATCTATCTTTGTTCTTATCCATCTATCTGGCTGGCTAGTTGCTTTATCGCAGTCTGTTCATATCTATCTATCTTTATATATATATATATATATATATATATATATATATATATATATATATATATATATATATATATATATATATATATCCGGGTAAGTAGAGAACGAATAGAGTACACTTCCAACGCTTGTAGCATTTAATTTGAAAGAGGGCTCAATACATAGAAGATCAATATTATTTATTTTAGGGTATTACAAAAAACATGTAAAAATCGCTACACAATTGCAGTCTTGTTTCAACGCATACCGATGCGTCTCCTTAGGCGATTGTAAATTACTGGCGACTGAACGATTAATATGGTTTCAAAAAACTAACTACATATCTATACATCCGTATAAGATGTTAATAACGTTGCCAGGAGATCAATACTAACTATTTTAGGAGTTTAAAAGATGATAATAATACTCCTAAGGTGAAATGGAAAATTTAAAAAAATGGGAAAGACATGTAGATCCTTATATGAACACTGTTTTCTGTGTTCACATGAAAAATTGGAAATTATTATGTTCTTTTATAAGAATTCTTTATCAAATCAAGGATCCTAATTAACGGTAAATTGGAAACACAATCTAACTTATACCTTACATTTCAGTTATACTCTGGAATTTGACAATGCTTTTGCTTAGATTTTATTTGAACTGCGTTGCACCCTATATTGCTTATCTTTCTATTTGTATGATTAGTTTGGTTTTAATTTAGTTCTGTATTGATCTTCTGGTAATATTATTAATATCTTATACGGATGTATTGGTATTTAGTTAATATTTTTGACATTTTACATTGATTGGTTGATATTATTAACATCTTATATGGACGATATTTATTTAATGGTTGCATATTATTTACCAAATAATTTTATATATTTAGATTATTTACTAGTTTCTTAAAGAGGTAACTTATTTATCCACTACAAAAAAGTTGGAAATCTACAAGGCATTGGGCATTCGGTTAAATTACCACTCTAACAACCCCCGACTCCCGCATTAATTTCTTAAGATAGCTGACTGTCTGGCTTGTGCACATTTATTATAACCATTTGTATCATTCTAATGTCTGGTTGCTGTTAAATGTCAAATCTTGGCCATGACACATTTCTAAGCTAATAAGACCATTTCTTTTTCAATTTGAATTTAACGTGTTATATTCGATTGGTTGATCAGGACGTATATAAATAAATATATATATATATATATATATATATATATATATATATATATATATATATATATATATGATGAAATATAGTCTTAAGGAGTGCTATATTTATGGGATAAAGTGCTCAATATCAGAGATAGAGTCGTGCAAATATAAAAAGTGAACATAGAAGTCAAAACTTAGAGCGACAGTCTGTTTCATGCTAAACGCCATCGTGGCCTGTCGATGGCGTCTAGCATGAAACAGACTGTCGCCTCTAAGTGTTGACTTGTTCACTTTATATTCACTTTATATATATATATATATATATATATATATATATATATATTAATGAGGATGTATTTTGCTTTTGAAACCAAATTAATCGTTCGCTCGCCAGTAATTTACAATCGCATGAGGAGACGGATTGTTATGAGTGGAAACACGGATCCAATTGTGTGGCGATTCTTCCATGTTTTGTCGTAATATCATATATATATATATATATATATATATATATATATATATATATATATATATATATATATATATATCCATCTCTTCTTATCTATCTATCTATATATCAATCTATCTCTCTCACTTTGTATCCTCAATTTCGTTTTGCTAGCACATTCATGTCTAATGTCACATTATAGGAAGGGCTAAGAGTAAGGAGTTATAAGTACAAACATAATTAATACTGGATTATTATAAACCAGATTAATACCGGACTGTTACATTATAATACCTGATTTTATGGTGTGTGTGTGTGTGTGTGTGTGTGTGTGTGTGTGCGTGTTCATTTTCAAAGTTGTGGCACATATATTAATAGTGCGATGTAGATATATAATGCATAAACAGATACTGAACAAAATGGTAGGCTCCTTTTGCCGGCCTAGAATCTACCTGACGCCCATTGCCATGCTCCCTCGTTACAAAAGTCAGATCCTACCAAAAATTAGATTATTGCTGCAATACCTGTGCTGGTGCTGCATAATCATCACTTCCCAGACACACTACGAAAGCGTTTCCGCTGCCTTGTGGGAGATTAATTATATTCCACCCGCTAACCACGCTAGTATTTTCTATCATGCAATTCGCGAGTTTTTCGCAAATTTATCACTGATTCTAGAGAAAATGTTCCGGCAAACTACATTCCTTGATTCCAGCAGTTCAGATCATTAAAGCTTCATTCTATGTACGTAGGGTCGAGTCATCCTTATCCCTTTCGTATATTACATTGGTAAGGAAGAAGTTCCATTCGGATAGCTTCTTCCAAAGGGTCGCTGCTTTGTCGCCGATGAGGATGCTTCCCTGACACTTACACAATCTCAACCACTTCAAGTCGAGGGTCGACCATCATCTATCTTATATATCCTCATCATCTTACGCCCATAAAACAACACAATTAAGTAACTTCCTACATTGAGTGGCTTTTGAGTCGTTTTGTAGTGGAACAATAGCGTGAAAAACATGGACGTATTCCGAGAGAAATGAATAGACTGAGATAGATAGATAGATAGATAGATAGATAGATAGATAGATAGATAGATAGATAGATGAACAGAGTGAAATATTTAGCTTTGAACAAACTCTGAAGAGTCTAAGATAAACAGACAGACAGACAGACAGACAAAGAGACAGATAGAGGCTGAAGAGTCTGAGATAGATAGATAGATAGATAGATAGATAGATAGATTATCGATATTTTGAATAATCAGACAAGCACAGAATCAAACGTGGACGCTGTGTGGCTAGAGAAATGACACCTTATGTGTTATGTGAACCTGGCTATATAATCGCCAAATTCAAAAACGCTTTCTCTTTTACTTCCATTACGTTAATTAGGCAACAGGACGCAATGCAGCTCCTTCACCGTGAATGCTGACTGTGGTATCAAGTTACAGAGGAATGGTGCAAGCACTTCAAGAGAAATTACTACTACCTAAAGAAGCAAACCGTGAAATAAAAGGAACTTCTCCTTCAACAAAACTGTTGACAAGTTGTCCGGGTTTCTCCTAAGCTAAGCCCGCAGACGCATATTGTCTGCAATTACTTCTTTTTTCTTATTTCTCTTTTTACTATTTGTACATTAAATATATTTACATAGCACATTTTATTGTGTTTCTCTCGCTTCTGAAGTTGTCGACCAGTAAATTTGAGCACACCAGGATTTAGTCCTTATCTTCCATAAACTTGAAACTGTATTTTGGCTTAATATCATAGATATAATCACCCCAAGATTATGAATAAAATGAGATAGATAGATAGATAGATAGATAGATAGATAGATAGATAGATAGTGGCTTAAATTCACACAAGGCGAGTGGAATATATTGGCAATCAACATTTCCTGAGTTGAAGGAGACGTACGCACGTACACACGCACACACACGCACACACACGCAGGCAGACGCGGGTGCGCGCCAGCGCAAAATCGACCTCTCTGAGGAAAGGACAAAAAGAAATGAGAAAAAATTACGCACGCAAACACAGAGAATTCCAAGCAGATATTTTTGTCTTTACTTACGTATGTAGACACACGTATATGTACATTAAAAAAAAGGAATATAATAAAAGAAGGAGTAAGAAAATCGATCAAAAGCCTACCGATTAATATCAACATCCTACGCGCGATCGATTTTGATATTCGCCGAAGCCTCTTTTATTTTTATTTTCCTTTTTTTTTACATTTTGAACGAGAAAAGGAAGAGAAAAAGAATGAAAGAAATGAGTAAACAAGAAAATTGGTGAAAAGAAAAAATAGACAGTAATAAAATAATAATAATAATAATAATAATACATAGATAGATAGATATGAACAGACTGAGATAGATAGATAGATAGATAGATAGATAGATAGATAGAGATATATACATACATACATATATACATACAGACTGACATACATAAGAAAAGACTAAAATAGATCGATCGATATAAACAGAGTGAGATAGATAGATAGATAGATAGATATGAATAAACTGAGATAGATGGATACATACATACATATAGAATGAAATGGATAAATAGGTAGATAGATAAATATGAACAGACTGAGATAGATAGCTAGCTAGATAGATAGATAGATATGAACAGACTTAGATAGATAGATAGATAGATAGATAGATAGAAAGATAGATAGAAACAGATTGAGATAGAAACAGACTGAGTGAGCTATCTATGTGGATAGGTAGGAACAGATTATTTCCATGTTCGGACGAAGTTTCGGCCTTTGTACATTTTTTCAGATAATTGGAATTTCGAACAGAACTCCTTATTTCGTCCACTGGGGAAGATTTTTCTAGTTCCATTTGCCATGCCTCTTCCGGATGTCTCAGTTATCTCCCTTTAACTCACCAAGGTTTTGTTCACCAATGCAGTCATCAGGTATTGAACACACAAAACTTTGGATGAAGTGGATCCAACTAGCCCATGTTTTATTCACTGGGCCATGTGTCCTTGAGAATTTTTAGGACTCATAAGCCTAATGTCTTAGTAACCATTTTATTCCAAAGCTCATATTGCAATTATTAATGTTATTCATTGCTATTCTCTAGAAATCTGTATTACTGGTCGCCATGTTGTATTCATTTCTATGCTTGGTCGGCTTAAGAGATTTTTTTTGCCTAGCATATGTGAAGATTCCTTAAGTTTTCTTATTTTCCAGTGATGCCCTCTGTTTATTATTTCAGCTTCATCTAAAAGATGGCGGTGATCTCCCTTTTCACTCCGTAGTTAGCCAAAACTTCGCGAGTTGAGTTAAAGGCAGATAACCTAGATATCCAGAAGAGGCATGTCACATAGAAATAGAACAATTTACCTCTGTGGACGAAATAATGGGCTCAGTTTGAAATTTCATTCCTCTGAAGAAGGCTAAAGCGTATGACGGCCGAAATTCCATGGATATGGCAACAAAGATGAGGACAACACTCCGAACAATGAAAATAGTATAAATAATTACAATACTTCATCTCAGAAATACAGATAGATAGATAGTTTGGAACAGACTGAGATAGATAGATAGACAGATAGATAGATATGAACGAAATGAAATAAGTAAAGATGAACATACAGGATGATACTTAGCGAAAGTGTGTTGTAGGTGTCGGTTTTCAAACCTAAGTAAAATCCAGTACATTAAACGCTGATTTTCACAGTAGATACTTTTAGAATATTGACGCAACTTTCACTGTTATTCAGTTTTAACTTCGGTTCTATCCATCAAATATAAAACACATTTATGCACATGTGTGTGTGTGTGTGTAAGCGACAGAGAGATGTAAATATAAAAACAGTGATACTGAAGTAGAGAGAGGGCTTGATAGAGAGAAGTTGGAAAAGAAATAAAGAGTTTGAAACAAAAGAAAAAAAATGGAGGGGAAATATTTAATTGAAAAAAAAAAGTTGAAAATAAAGAAACCTAAGTTTATGCATGACGAAGAAACCCAGCCTCTCACGCCATATTGACTGCTTCTGTTCATGTTGGGATGTTGAGGGGGAATGGCAGAGAAGGAAATCGCTCCGATCGATCTTGTCTCATGCCGACCAGGCAAGGAAGACACGATGCAAATGGCGGTGTATAGGCAGACAGAAAGCAGCACAGGGCCGATGTCGGTATTGGCTGATTTCCGATGGTTGCTAAGATTTTCGAAGGAAACGCAAAGCACAAAAAATATCAGATCAAACGAATCAGACAGGGAGAGAAGAATTGATCGTTCTCATAGCAGTAAAAAGGCGACCGTTGTCGTGGCAGGGGAAACAATGGTGGAGGCTGGAGAAAGTATGGAATCTAGTCTTATTCGTAACATTCTTTACAGTTAAATTAAGGAACAGTCTTCATTGTAGGTGGATGAACAGTCGATTGATGCTGATTCGTCTGCTACTGTTCAAGGTCCGAGAAATGCGTTCTTGTCATCTGATTTACCAGAACCAACATGAGAGATGTCGATCAACTTTTATCTTTCCACATAATCAACACTAAAATGAGAATGCTTAGTTTTGTAATATAATTGATTATACACACGAATACTTGCCTCTTGGGAATGGTTTCGAAACTAAATAAACTATACCATCAACATTTTACAAGATGCTCACATTACTTAAAATCTGAAACATTATCACTTATTCCATCGATTCATCCATTATCAATTATTCAGAATAATATCCTAATATATATATATATATATATATATATATATATATATAAAGAGAATATTGAAGTAAAAACTCAGAGGCGACAGACAGTTTCATGCGAGACGCAATCGTGAGGCGCCCTGACGATTGCGTCTAGCATAAAACAGCCTGTCGCCTCTGAGTATTCACTTCAATGTTCACTTTTATATTTATATTTAAAACACTCTATCTCGGATATTGCGCACTTTATCCCATAAATATAACACACCTTTAAACTATATTTATTTATATATTAAAAAAACGAAACAGGTTTGTATGTGGATAACTTGCCCTCGTTTCCCGATTGAGCACTATGAGGAAAGGTAAATTTAACAGTAGCTGCTCCTGCTTATAACGCATCGGTCTTCAGTTGTGAACAGAGCGCTCTGGCTGCTGATTTGGCCTTTATATACATCACGTATATAATACGTTAAAAGATTTCCTTTCTCTGCCGTGCGCCGATACATTAGGGATAGAGTCTCTGATTGATGCCAAATCAGTTGAGTCTCGATCCTGGCTTGAAGCTGCAATGATGAGACGTGATACCACGAAACAGTCTTGTATGTATATATATATATATATATATATATATATATATATATATATATGATTACTATACAACACAATTATTTCACTATCTCTCCATTTCTTATTAAAAGTGAATTACGTTATGTCTCAGTAATGAAGATTTTTCTTTTGTGAATTAAAATTATTAATATTTTATTTTTTTATTTTTTGTAAGAAAAGGAGATTATGATATATAATACTTGTGGACATAAAATTATTGCGGAAGATTCTGAAATTCATTATTATTTTCCTTATTTCAAAATTATCATCACATAGATTACGATGAACGACTAATGCATTGAATATATTGATTTGTAAAAGATCACTTTTATATTCATCTCATCTCATATTTAGTCTAATTCTCTTAGTGATATCTATATCTATCTATCTATATATATATATATATATATATATATATATATATATATATATATATATGAACGAATGTGCGTTCCTCCCATTTGATATTGTGATTTTTATCCGTCTATCACCGAAAATCTGCTCGTGCCTACCATCAATTTAGCTAAAGAATTCGGTTCTGTTAGCGATAATCAGATAAAAATTATAAAGCAGACGCAAAAGCCTATGTTATATCATAATGGTTGTCTACGGACCAAAAGAAACAACACAGAGTTTGACATTGCAATAGGCTTTTTTGATTTTGCCGGGGCATCCGAACTAGTTCGAATTTTATTAGTTTGACTATTAAGATTTCTTTTCAACATTACGAATACATAACTCTACAAGAGATGACGATATAAGTCTCCACTGTAAAATAAATTCAAGAAATATTGGTCGGTCGAGAAACAAAATGATTAAATTCTTCAATGATCACGAACTAAAAATAACCACAACCACTAATTCTAAATTGATCAACTTTCTCGATGTGACCTTGGACATGCACTTTTTATTATAATCCCTATACAAAAGATCTATATAAACATATATACGTTTACAATGAATCCAATCATCTACTTTCAATGTTTAATAACTTGCATGAATCCATACAATTTAGATTATCTACTAACTTCAGCAATAAGAAAATATTTAATAAAATTAAAGTAAATGTAAAAAAGCATTAGAACGATGCCAACATAAAGGTAAATATAGAATATTTTAAAAAAATAAGTAAAAATAAACAAAGACACCGTATTGTGTTATGGTGTACCCCACCTGTTATAATCATAATGTTGAAACGAATATTGGAAGAAGTTTCGTAAATTTAATTCGTAAACATTTCAATCCTCCTGCAACATTAAAGATTTTTAACAAAAATAATGTAAAAATCAGCTAAAGTTGCGTTAAAAATATCGAAAAATCTATATTCCATGATAATATTATATTGAATAACAATATCACCAGCAAAAACAACAATGTTAATAAATTTAAAAAAATAAATGCAACTGCCGGAAAGATACGATCTGTCCTTTAAACGGCCAATGTATAACTGAAAATGTTGTATACCGAGCTAGCATACATTCTAATAGCGATGTCAAAATTTAAATAAATCCTTGGAAATTTCCTCTTTATCATCATCAAAAAACTTTAGATAGTGTAAGATACCTGAATAGCATGGATCTCTCTAAACATTTCTGGCAATTAAAGAATGATGGTAATACACTCATAATTACGTGGAATAGAATAGCTATAACCAAACCTTACAATGGGAAAGGCAATAGATGCTATTATTTAGAAATATATCCTAAAAACTTAAATAACCCTCGTTTATTAAAGAAGAGAAATGAATTGATTGTCACATGTTGAAATGAGTTGATCCAAATTAGTTTCTATTGCATGTTAAAACCTTTCCTTCTTTAACCTTCTTCTGTTTACTTATCTTCTGTCGAGCAAATCTTTTAGATAAGTTTATTTTAAATAGAAAATTGAAAATTTTGAATATTAAATATAAATCCCGTTTATAAAAAAAGTAATCACCATATGTATTGCGGCAACATTTCATTAACCAGATATATTTATTAAAATTTAAATTATGTAAAGGTCAGTTCTTTACTCAGCACAGAAAGACTGCGTTGTGCATTAAACTCGAGCTACCGCCGAGCGAAAACGTATGTTTATTAATATATATATATATTAAAACGTATGTTTATTAATATGTATATATATATATATATATATATATATATATGTGTGTGTGTGTGTGTGTGTGTGTGTGTGTGTGTGTGTGTGTGTGTTTAGTTGAATGATCTAGGCATATTATTTCTATTTTTATTTTAATCCTTTCAAATTAGCAATACGCCGGT